AATGTTTTTATATATATATATATATATTTTTTTTTTTTTAATAGAATTTTAATTAATATATTTGGTATAATTAATAAAATATTTAACCATTTAATAAAATTAGTAAGAATCAACTACTTCATAATAATAGTCTTGTAATAAAATATTGTATTGTTATTTTCTATAAAATTGTTATACGAATTTTGATTCAAATATTTATAATATTATTTGATATCGCGCGCGCGCGTGTGTGTAATTTTAATTGTTTTGTATTGATAAAACTTATTTAATGCAAGTTCACAATGAAAATTATATTGCTTGTAAATTATAAATAATTTATGCTTTATACGTACAATATTACAGATATAACATAGCGAATAATGAATTATTTTACATCTTGTTTCATATTAATTTATAGGAATACTTTTACACAATTTCTTTCATATTTTGTAAATATTCCAATTAATATATATATATATTTGTATATTGTTGTCATATTAATAATTAAAAATTATTATAGTTATAGTTAGTGATAATTCGTTTAAGTAATTTTATTAATTATTCTGCGAAACTACTTTATTTATGGATATTCAACTTTTATAAAATCAGAAAAGAACATAATTTTTATATTTCATCGAGGAAATGGTTTACAATTATAAGAAAATTTTCAATCTTACGCTCATTTATCTTTTCTCTATCATATTCAGAGCCCATTGCCATTTTCATACTTACGACTGTTTTTTCTTTTATTACCATACTCTTCTTCTCTTTCTCTCTCTTTCTCTCTCTTTCTCTCTCGTTCTCTCCCTCTCTCTCTCTCTCTCTCTCCCTCTCTCCCTCTCGCTTACCAAATCCCTTGTTCTTTTTCCCTTCTCTGCCTTCTTTCTTTCGGACTTTTCTCCTCTTTGGGAGATCCCTGTTTATCTCACAATTTCTTTCTTCGTGCGCGTAAGGTTTCCTCTTTCTTTCGCGAAAAGTCAGAGCGTCTTTGCTTATCGTAGACCTTATTTCTCTGTATCCACTGCCTAATGCACTTACACCAAGTAGACGCTTTTTTCCTTCCCAGTACAGACTTTTTCCTTTGTGCTTCTGTCACTTAGTTTTTTCACGTTTGTCGACAGTGTTCTTTGTTTCGTTATTGAATAATCAAGTGGAGAGAAACTTACGTTGTACGGGGTTGTGTGACAAAGAAAAGTTTTAGCCAGTTTGTGCCGAGTTTCGTTTTGTTTTTCAAAATAACCGAGGCTACGCGTACTAAGTTCCGACTGCCGTGGAAGGTTGGGTTTCGGAAGAGGCTTATGTAGTTGTTGAGTTTATAATTGACGTAAAACAAAAAAGACAGTAGCAAAAATTTTAATATGACATGGTATTAAACTAAGAGATTCAGCTAACACAATTCATTATTGGAAAGCAATTTAATTTTGAATATGCTGCAAATAATACAATTCGATAATATATTCGATGGATATAAATTAATTTACAGTCAATGAATTTTATGTTGATAACACAGTTTCGGTTCCTCTTTCCTTAATTATCAAATAATATATTCATTATTCCATAATGTTTTTATATTCGTGTTAATTATTTCCAACAACTTATTTTAATTAGCCTATACGAATAATATCAATATGCATAATAATAATTCACAATAATTATTATTATCTTTGTTATTATTGTTGTTGTTGGTATTATTGTTTTGTTATTTTTTTCAATTTTTCGTATTCTAATAAATCATAATGAAATTTTAATAATCAATCATATAATATATTCCACGTACTTCTAGACATTGTCGATTACCAACTTTAAAAAAGGGAAAATAAATAACTTACATTCGCATGGATAATTAGGGTACTCGAACGTCTTCACTTATACTGGAAATTAATCCATGCCGTAAATTCAAAATACAAGCCGAAGCGAAATACACGAGCATATTCTATTCGAGGTCGTGGAATAGCACGAAGTACATTAAAAGTGCATTAAAGTATCGCCATACGGCGAGCATATCAAAATATCCTTTCGGTTTATTGTCAGTTTATTGCCTGCGATCGTATCGTGCGTATACATTATTACTACCATTACAATGTCTCAGGAGTATGACACCGGTGGGACAAGAGCGAGCCTTACAACCCTTCCCCTGACCACACTTGTTAATTACCCTAATAAGCCGCGTAGAGCCAGCAAGTAGAATTTCACGGACCGTCGTCTTTTCCTGTACCCTCATCTCGACAGAAACTAACCACGCGATGATAAGTATGATAATGGTCGGGACCAACTGAGGAAATGAAAGGTTGGGAAAACCGCCTTTTGATGTTTGTGGGAATGGAGGATGGGTCGCATATTTAATCTATGCGTAGTGAGAGTCAAGACTTTCCTTCAGAATCGCGAGATTTATCAAAAATTTATTTTAGTTTGTCTTTCGCTTGAAAATTTTACATTATAATTCCATATGCCTATGAGCTTGGCATTTTTCTTCCTTCGACACCAGATTGTTAATTCAATAAGGCTTTAGGTATTAAATATCGGGGGTAGAGTTGCTTATTGCAAAAGTTTGGAGGGGATTGCTTGGCATCCGATTGAATGCGAATCCTTAATTAATTGAAAATTCATTGGTTTATTTCTTTTATTCTATTAGAAGTATTGAAAAGGAACTGAGTGAATTTCCTATATCAATTAAGTTCAGATAATTCAAAATACAACAATTTGTCTTAGTTATAAAAATATTTTCTACAACATTTACATTTTACACTTTTATAATAATAACATCAATATAACATTGATTAACATCACTGATCGTAATTAATATTTAAATTATTAATAATATTATTATTAATATTATTTCTTACGGAAATTTTAATTGAGGAACTTAAGTATTTATCAATTCATTTGATATTGAAAATCTCTTTAAATATTTTTATTTTTATAGTATTTTATTATTAACTACTTTATGTAGTTTTATATTGTCAGCTATAATTTTGAATTGATATGTTTTGTATTTTTAAAATTCGTATATATGTAGAGAAGTATATGTTATCCGTTTTTCTTTATCGATATATACATATATATATATATATATATATATATATTCTTGAACGTATATTTCTTTTAATTCAATTTCCATTTATTATTATTTTTTACACATTATTTATAATGCTATTGCAATTCGCATATAATTACTCTGAATATTTATTATTTACTTGAAAATCATTTTAAAAGTGAATTTTAAATTTAATACTATGTAAAAGTGTTTAAAAATATAATATAGAGAAAAATCATTGTACTATATTTTATATTATTGCAGTTTATCTATTATTTATTACCTATACATTCACAATAATGATATACAAAAATCTTTTCCATTCATATCGATAACAAATTATTAAGGTTTAATATACTATGTTTGATTAACAAATAACACTATGTTACAAATAATTATTCATTACCAAAACAGAAAAAAGTTATTAGAGGTTAGTCTACAATAATTTCATTTTACAATCATTTTTATGCTGACAATATGGGATAAACAATGTACCGAGCATTGTCCTAAAGTGAAAACTACAATTAAAATTTCCTTTAAAATTGAAATGCAATATCAAAGGAGGTAACTGTAATAAAATAATTGATAGATTTCCTCAATATTCTCAATTTTTGTACTATCAAATCAATCTATCAAAAATAAATATGATCAATTATTTTCGAAAAATATGGATCAAACGTAAATATTGCAAAAATGCATTTTATTAAAAATAATAATACATATAAATGAAATGAAAGAATGTATTATAGAAAGAAATCTGAAACAATGCATTGAAATGCAAAACTTATTATTATTTTTTTAAAGAATTTTGAGGTTGTTTGGTTATACTATACTAAAATAAATTTTGGCTCAATGAAAGAAAACTCTAAACAATCAAAGCGTGGATTAACATAAACGGTATGGTAATTATTATAGAACATTTGTTCGACTAAGTTTATATTTAATATATATTTTGTAATACTCGAAGTTTCATAAAAGAAAATGTAATTCTGAATAGATTACATAATATCGTTAATTATAAATTGTTATAATTTCTAATAGGTACATAATCATAATTTTGTTAAGATTAAAGTTAAATTTTTTTATATTTAAATTATTTATTTTGAGTATTCAAGTTTAAATAAAATATGTTTTCATTTACAATTGAATATAATGATGATTTAGTTATATGATATAGAGCATTTGATATGTTTGTTTCACTCATTAAAATACGAAAAAAAATCATTCTTTTTTCATAAATAACGTATAAGCATATGAATATACATATAAGAATCGATTGACTTAACTGTTCTTTAAGATAAAAAAATATTACTATTTAATTGGAAATTAGCAAGTATTTAAAAATAAATCGCTTAAATTTATTTTTATCACATATTCTTTTGTTTGTATATATAACGAATTAATAAACATTTATTAAAATCAACAAGATTATATTTTCTTATGCGTAACAGATGTAAAAACAACAACAATAAAACAAGAAACCCTTTCGAATCAAACAAATTTTTAATCCATTTGTAGATATTCTTTTGAGATAATGAAAGTGAAGTACTTGATTAAGTGAAAATCCAGAAACTTTTCCACTCTTTAAATAAAAATTTATAACTTACTCGTCGTGGTGAAATCCCTTTGTGGGTTGAAACTTAATTAACGGCTTTTTTAGAAGCCTTCTTCATTCAATTTATTTTCCTAATACTGTAATAGGAAAGCGTACAATCCCGTTCATCGCAGTTACGACGTCGGTAATCTTCTTTTCCAGGATCGCTTAATTAAAAGAAATTCATTCGGGGATTGTACGGTGAAGTCACGAATGGATCGGATTCCGTTATATGCAGCTTTTTATGGTTCGCCGTTAAAACCATCGGTATTTCCGTTACGTCGACATTATATTAACGTAAAAATTGAAAAAATTTTTAACTAATCGCATACTCATATTTTAATATTATAATTATTTTGTTTTCATTAAATAATGTGAATATGCTTTGTATAGTTCCAGACGAAATACCGCCGAATCAATCTGGAAACAAAACCAACGACGAAAACATAACTGAAGAATCAATCCAAAATGGTATGTATATTTTTTACACGTAGGCACACATATTCACACATACAAGATATTTTTAATTTATTATTATACATTAAAAACACTATTAAATATTATTTTTATATATTTAATTTTTATTAAACATATAGAATAAACTAATAATTATTATGTAAATATCTATCATAATGTTCAATTTCAAATTCCATGTTTATAATATAATTTAAACAATTATAATAATAATATAATAAAAATATAATCATAATGTAATAAATAAAAATGATAGAGTCCTTGCAAAACTATTTCGATAATTTATTCTTATATTGTAATATCAAATCAGATAGATAAATTTTTTTACGTAATTATTGTAAAATTTTAATAAATATATTGTAATTAATTATTATTATTACGATATTATACGATATATATATATATATGTGTATATATATATATATATATATATATATTAGCTGCTTTATGTTTTTATAAATTGTTTTTATGAAGATGAGGAAGAAAGTGAAGAAATAGCGCAACCACGAGTTGAAGAATCGAATTTTAAGTTCATGGATTTTCTTCAGAGGTGAGAAATTCTTTTTAACAGATTAAATTATGCGATTTTATATTTTTAACAATAATTATTATGCTTAACAAATTAATTACTATTTATATTTTTAGATTTGCCAATGTACGTATTGTGAGTAATCTAACAATTCTTTTAAAGCAGTTTGAAAAAAACACACCCGAAGTCAATCATTGCGTATTAAAACTGTTTCATCGAATCGCCATGGAATGCAAAATGCCGGCCATGATGTATCAAGCATCGATATTTCGAGTCTTTCAAAGGGTTTTTCAATACGACAGTCGCATGTATAAGGTACGAGTATTAATTTGAATTTCAATTGTACTTAAAGTTTATTATCATTAACGGGGTTTATTAACGGGACACAATAAAGTACATAATAAAAATATGTAATAAAATAATATTCCGATTGAAATCTTTACGTTTTGAGTTAAAAAATAAAAATTATTAATATCTATTTTAGTGATACTTAGTCTTAACATTAAGTCTATACATATAAAATGATTTTTATAATATTTATAGCTCATCGATCGATATAATAAATGTATTAATGCACATACTTTGATAATATATATATTTCATATTAATCATTTACCCAAATTATTATTATATATAATTATTAAATATTATTGTCTTAAATGAAAGATATATAATTTCGTCCATTTATATATAAATCTATATATCAATTTAAATAAATCATTTCACGACAAAGAGTACTTTAAATATTATAGTAAACTATTTATTTTCAATATTATTATTCATATTCCAGACTATTATGCATAGAGTCTAGTTAATTATTCAACTGCTTCAGCTAATTACACAATGCATGATACGTTCAGTTAGAGTAACACGGTTATTCATCATAAACGATCATGATTCTGACATACATGTTCTACTCGGATTTCTAGGCAGTAGCTCAAATTTTAATAAAATGAAGATAGCTTATAACTATGCTCAAACCATACAGCTTTCTTCATGCTGCGAATACAGTAAATTAGAAAAGGATCATTTTCTATATTATAAAAACATAATTCATTGAATGAATGAATAAAAAATAACTGTCCTCCTCATTTGATGTATCTACCTTGTAATATTCATATCATTTCGGAAATGAAAAATGAATTACTTTGGAATGTTATCAGGATTTAACAGTGTTTGCTCACTTTATATTTCGCGGCTTCGTCGAAGTGGCGAAAAGAAATCCAAAGGCCTATATGGAACTGCTCTTTTGGAAATCAACAAAGCAAGCGATTGAAATGACGGAAGGCTACGATACTGAACATTCAAGCAATAAAAAGACTCGTAACGTGTGGAGTGACGCCGAAGAAGACGAACTCCGAACTTTGTTTATGGAGCATCAAACCAAAAAACTCCCCCAAGGTATATAAAAATTCATTTAATTTCATTAATTATAGCCTGAATTACATTTTATTTCTAAAATTCTTTTTATTCAGTATAAAACATATTTGCTAGATAATATTTTGAGACGATTAAAAGATATATAAAATACAGTATATGTACCATCAATTATTGAATAAAAATTTGTGCAATTTTGAATAATACTTTCGTAAGAAATAAATACAAAAAAATCTATTAGATATTGTAACGAATAATATTATATAATACAGAAAACTTATTTACTTTTTAATTACAATGCCATCTGCTTATTTATAATTTCATAATTCTTCTATAAAATATCTTTAAAAAACGTCATAAAAATGTATATATGACCTACCTATTTATATGCGTAAAATATTTTTCATATATTTTACCTATTATAATTAAGTTTTTTGTAATTAAATATTAGTATTACCATTAGTCCTTAATGTACTTATGTACATGTTAGAAAAGGATTTATATAACATTATTTTATTTTAATAAGTTTTTATTAACAAATATTAATTTTATGATGATATACATTGAAATTAAATGTAAGAAAATTAAATACTACGAAGTAGTAAAACTTAAATGTCTACTTTAATATTACTGGTCTACCAAATTTTCTCGAATGACTGCTTTTGGTATTTTAAATATTCTAATTACTCTTATAACTTTATAAACAAAAATTGTTTATAACTTATTCCATAATACAATTCTCTTAAAAATTAATGATCCATAATTTATATAGAAATCTATAGATATATACACAAAAAAGATTATTAATTATTGTTTTTTGTGCACAAATCTTAATTGGGTGTATAATACAGATTTTATTTATATAAAGCAAGTAATTTATACAATATTATTGAAAAATATGGCTAAATTATTGATTCCATTGATTTATCTATTACTGTTTCACGCAATTATTAAATCATATAATAACACTTATAGCAATAATTGTATGTAATTTTTATTTTAGATCTAATTAGTTACATATTAGAAAATTTAATAAACCAGGACCGCACGAGGCGTGGAGTAATGAAAAAATTAAAGGAAATGTGCCTGATTGTCAATTCGAAGGTAATGTCTCTGTATTATGTTAGTAATTTAAAATTCTATATATTTTAAATTGTTTAACTCCATTAATTATTCAGCTATATATATATATATATATATATATATTATAAATAAAATTATATAAAATATTAATAATATTTATAATAAATTACAAAGTATTAAGTATTGAAATAAATAAGTAAAATAAGATTTATACATAAACTTATATATAATTTTCTATACTCAATGAAATATTTCAGAACAACACTATAACAAGGGAAGTTTCAATTTAATATACAAATTAGTTTTCTCTTAAAGTGTATATACATCTATTTTCCTTATTCATATATCTATGTTTAAAAAGCCTATTTGTGATATATTTAGTGAATTCAAAGAAATAAAAAAAATTTTTATTATAAAAAGTGTAGTAGTTTATATAAGTCAAAATGAAGAAAGTTTGAATAGAATTCGAAATAGATGAGCTTGAGTATAAAAATTGAAAATTGAAAAAACTAAATAAAAAGATTGTAACCAGAAAGAGAAATGTTCACCAATGTTTTATAAAATATGTTCATTTTTTAATAAATATTCGTAAATTAAAAAAATTTAATTCAAAAATACGATCAATGCTATTGCTTTATATTTTTTAATTAAAATTAATTTTATAAAATTAAAAAAAATCAACATTAAAAAGCCTCACTCTGGTTACTCTCTATTCAACTTAAATTTGTAATTCGTTGATTTTATCAATGCAGTATTATTAGAATATTTAATTTAATATATTATATAATTAATATAGATTGTTTATTATATTGCGATCTTTATTGTTATCATTATAATTAAAAATTTACAGAATTATAAGCAATTTATGTAGTGTTTGAATAATAGACAAGATTTTTTTAAATTTTTACACATAACCAAAGTTTTTAAAATGAAAATCATAAAATTTTCAAACTGAACTAATTAATCTTTAGAACACATTTTCAAAGTAAAAATAAAATGTGGGAACTGGAAATATCTATTATTTATGAATTTAAATTTTCATTTTAGCCTCTTAATTTCAAAATCTCATTTATTCATTTATAGTGAATATGTGCTTTATAATTTTTACAAATGACTTGCATTTTCGGAATATATAATTATTTTCCACTCTTACGTTACGTAGTTCATATAATGCGAATTAAAAGCATAAGCATAATGATGTTTTTAAAAAGTAGTAAACGTTGAGAAAAGATGAAAGTACAAAAGAAATGAAACGGAATAAAAAGGTGACGGTAAAAATGGATAAAGGAAGAAGGTTCCAAGCGCAGCAATGAAAGTTCACCTTCCTTTCCTGAAACGTGCTCGCTTCACTGTCCTGGTTTATTCGCTCTCTCGTTCTCTCGTTCTCCCATACCCGTTCTGTCATTCTCTATCTACTCATCTATTTATCTGTGTATCTATTTATCTATCCGTCTCTCTCTCTCTCTCTCTCTCTCTCTCTCTCTCTCTCCCTCCCTCCCTCCCACCCTCCCATCCCTCGTCCTCTACGCCCGTCATCCAACCCACACTCCTTCAATTTCGATCTCAATTTTCCCAAGACGCACGAAATCCCACAGTACACGTCGATGATTTATGAGGGCCGACGCAACCGCGGGCTAAGTTTTAAGCTACACTGTCTTCGCTCCTGGGTCAACACGTGTAAGCAAGTTCCTTATGGGATTCTTCATGTAATCCATGTGGATAGGAAAGCAGACGACTTTGAAGCAGTGTATGCACGACATGCCAATTCAGTCCTTTTCAGACTTCTTTGCTTTGATAGATATTTCATAGTTTAACCTATAATATTGCGTTATGCATATATTACATGTCCAATTTTTTTCATAGAAAAATGCTTTTATTCCTTTTGGTTATTTTATAAAATGTCTTTTGTTAGCTGATGGATGTCTAGCATTTATCATTATTCATAAGTCTTCCTACACACGTAGGTCCAAGTACTATTATCATTGTTTATTTGAAAAATTAGATACAGAATTTTCGTATCATAGATAAAATATAAATTTTCTTATATAAAAAAGAACTAGAAATATATACGCTTTAATTAATAATCAACGTTTCTAATTAATTTCTATTCTATTATTTTTCTCTTATTATTTGTTAGAATTCTATTGGATTCTTATTTGTATGTGGACAAGTTCAAATTCTTTGAATAATTCATGATCCTGTGTAGTAATAATTTTTTATACTTAGGCTTCCGTACAATGACAATACAATGCCAATGATATTTTAAACACCATCCATTCAACCGAAAATAAGTTATTGATTGAAGATTTGAGAATAAAAAAAAGAAAAAGTACGAGCATCGGTTAAGATTCGACATTAAATTTGTATTCGATTTTTCATAAAATAGTCTTATTAGTTATTTGAAATTATGAATGTTTAAGCTGCATCAAAACATAATGCATTCAAACAATTAACTGCAGTGAAAAGTATCCAAAGAAAAAAAAAATTATAAACTGATTGACTTATTGACCGATAGAAATTATTCGAAAAATATTTTTTTTTAATATTCAGATATTTGAATAGAGTAATAAAATTTATTTTAATTATTTTTGCAAATACATATAATTTTTGTAGTGCCTTGTTATAATAGTATTAATAATCATTATTATTATTGATAATTGCATTTACATTTAATTTGTACATTAAATTATAATAAATATATTTATAATGTTTAGTCTATAAGAGGTGAAATACAAAAAAGATTGCCGAAAGAATGGTCTGATGAAGAAATCAACCAGTTGACAGAATTATGGGACCAAGTTAAAGAAGAGCATGGTATTTATTCATAATTAATAGTGATTATTTATTTTTTTTTTTTTTTTTAATTTGCATAAGTATTTAATAATTAAGCCGTATAGCAGTATTGATATATTATAGAATACTTAATATTACAGATCCTGTTGGATTAATATATGACAGTTTAAGAATAAAAAGATCAAAAGCAAAAATCAAAGAAAAACTTTTAGAACTAAATTTAGCTGAAAATGCACAGCAATTGAGGAAAAAACGAATGAAAAAAAGTTCGGGTAAGTAGTTACTGAATTCTTAAATTTTAAATTTTACGGAATTTCATAAGTAAATAAACTAATAATTAACAATAATGATGCTATAATGATGTTTATTTCTTAATTAAAAGAACAATATTGTAATTGCAATACGGTTGTATTATTTAGAGTGACTAATCAATAGTATTATTAAATATGTTTATCTAAACAAATATTCATTTATCTTAACAAAGTTGAAAAACTTTAATCTCTATTAAAAGACTACTGTACTTTACGTGCGCTACAGCTGTTGCAAAAAATTATAAAATTCTCATTATCATTGTTCTTAATATTAATTTGACCGGCTAAACTGGAGCAAACTTAATTAGAGAAAAGCTGTATCTAATTAGAGCATATTAATATCATAGCCGAATTACCGAATAAATCGTCCAGGTGTGCTCGCTTTCGTGTCACATGGCATCATCGAGGTCGAAACTCAGTCTGGTGCTGCGTTAGCACACATTATGCCTTTGTTTCTTTGTTTTCCATCAAACTGTCAGGCGACATTTCGGTCGCCTAGCCACAATGAACCAAAATGCGTTGACGCGATTGCGCGATGCACATCCACCAACAATGTATTCTGACGTAACACGTTCACATTTCACCCAGCGTCCTATGTCTGTGTATAGCACCTCCACATATATACTTTTTAAGAGTTTAATTTTGAATATTTCCCGTTAGAATACGTCATTCGTGGATGTATATTAGTGACGTCGACCCTGAACAAAACGGCACTACATGTACATACGCACAAATGTGTTCTCGTACTCAACTACCACTGTAATTGATATAACAACGCCACTACGTTTTGCAACGTCCTCTTTGTTATTTTATTTTTTTACCTATATCTTTCTTTCTTTCATTCTTTTTTTTTTATTTATTTATTTTTTTTTTTATTTGACTGTTCTTTTGTTTAGAAGCGGCAGAAAATGTTATCTGATTTATTTGTTTTCGAATCAACGTTACGGAGCTTTCGAAATGCGCTTTTATTGTATTGAGCTGAATTTCAACCTCTCTGATACTACAATTTTATAAATATTTTCCATGCTAAATAAACTATTCAATACAATATATTCTTGAATAAAGAATATAATTTTTTTTCTATGTTAGATTTTTATAGTATTAGATCAGTGCTTGAGTCAATCAAATAATTAGATAAGTGTGCGCGAGAATTGAAATATCTTAATAAAGTATAATAATTAAAATTTTACTCTTCTAGTATTGGCGATTAAATGATATAAAAATGCTTTAACGTATGCAACATCACTATTATATTATATTATTGGTTAAAAATTCATATTAATATTCATAAAAATTATATAAAGTTTATTTTATAAAGTAACTAATATACTTTTATGTCAGTGTATTGAAATTGGTATTTCATAGACTAATCCAGTAAGTTATAGAAATAAAATTATCTTAAAGGTTAAAATTCACAAGATTATATAAAATAATTATGTTTCCTTTTTTATTTCAGTATATTATTCAGTATATTATTTTTGTTTTAATTATATTATTATACATAAAATTGTATGGTCATTTTTAAAACGCATATTTTGCGAGAATACTTGAGCAGTTTCGATTGCTACGTAAACTCTTCGAAATTGTAACGTGAAAACTGGAAGCTCTGTTTTTCTTTTAAAATTGCCCTTGAATTAAAAACTCTTGTATTTAATTATATTTTTTTTCTATAATATTTGTTTAAAAAATGAAAGCACAGAATCGTTCGCAATTAACATTTTTATAGAATATTCAAGCCCACAATTCTCAAAACGTATCAGTAAATCGAAAACATATCCGAGTGCTCCACAATACCCGGAAATTTCATATTTATCACAGAAATTGTTTTTCGCTCTCTCGCGTCTTATTTATATGCAATACCTTCCAATAGATGGATAGATTGTTCGCACCGACTCCAACTGCATTGCTAGAAAAAATATGAGAGAATAAAGGATTGAACGGAAGACACTGCACGGTGCGCTCAGCATTTTATTTTCTTAGCTCTGTTGCTTTGAAGTCAAGCGTATCTTTTTCCACTTTAATAACCGATCAAATACTTTTCTTTGATCAATTTAAAGCACAGTATACATTAACTTGGAGGCAAATACAAACCATCTATTGACCCTGTGTTTTATCAACTAGCAGTGAATAATTGATTTTAACGAAAATAGTTCTTCGAAGTATAGGAAGTGCAGAACGTATATGTAGTCATTTGTTATTTTGCAAACTTTATGTAGTCTATAGTATTTCAAGCAATTTATGCATTTATCACTTAGAAAGTAATTTTCAAATTTTATATTAAATTGTTTTCAATTGTATGTTGAACAAATTCACGAGTAAAAATTATTTCTACAAATATATCTACAAATTACGTCACTTAGCACGAACCAAACATAAATTTTAATCACTACATTTACAAACATTACTTGTAATAATTACATTTTATTTACCTACCTACACATTAAAAACAATGTCCAGCACTGTAATTGGGTAATATCATAAGTGTTAATATAATTACATCCTCTAAGCTTCATTATAATTGCAAAATTAAAGCTTTACATAATACGTACTAAAAATAAAAAAACGTATGAATAAATTAAATTTCAAATTACTTAATCGTTATGTTATTACTGTTTTACATAAATAGTATTAACATGATATAACGTACATATATCTAATCTAAGAAATCCACAAATGTTAGATGTTAATATCAAGTCAAATACCACTATAATATTAATTAAGTTAAATTTATATATACATCGTTACATTAGATAACCTAATATAAAAATATTGTAACAATCGTATTGTTATACAGGACCAAAGTCTTCATGGGAGAACCCATCTAACAGCGAGAATGAAGATAGTTCGGATTCAGAAATAAATTCTGAAAGTGATGATGGCCAAACTAAGCCTGCAGCGGAGAGAAAACAGGAAAAAAAATTGAAAAACAAAAAGAATAAACAAGCATCAATTTGTTACACGGATGCTCAGTTATCAGGATTATTGAAAGATGTCATTGACAATGGTAAATATTAAAAAACTCACGATTTTTAATGGCTATTTTATCGTTAAGTTTCAAGAACTTTTAATTTTATTAAATGTGGTTTTCAAAATTAATTATACACAATATATATATATATATATATATATACCTGTATTCGAATATCCTAATTTTTTTTTTTTTTTTTTATTTATTGTAACGGAAAACTCTTCTATTATAATATTTTATAGAAATAATCAAAAGGAACAATAAAATTATGCATAATATGTCTACTAATAAGATGAATAATTTTGTTTTTCTAGAATTCTCATAATTTCTAGAACATAATAATTTCATCTGAGATGGATATTTATAATAAATAGACTTTATAGAATAAGTTGATTTGTAATTTCCAAAAAGTTACCTATTTAAGCCTTGATCGTTCAAGACCTACCATGAAAAATTTCAATTTAGAAATCGAACAGTCATTAATCATAAATACTTTTATAAATAAATACTAATTTCAAAGAAACATTAGACACACGCCCGTCCAATTGTTATACACACATGCATTTGTAAATCCTATTATAATATTATTGCTTGTCGATATGCTTCAAATTTAAAAAATGGACCAATCCATTGAATCAAATTCATCGGAAAATAAAATCTTTTCAAACGACTAAATAGCCAATTTTTATAATAAATAAAGCAACTAATATATCTTCTCTTATACAAATTTTAACATAATTTGCAAATATGCAATCGCGTTGAGCGACTCAACCACGTCGACGCTCAGCTTAGCTGATTATATACAGATGATGAATAACACGTGACTCCTTTAAAACCTAAACACCGTATAAAATATTCGGCGAGGGCGGAGAAGTGCCGGAAAGTCTAATTTTGAAAACCTTTGTTCCGTCTCAATCAGGCATGCAGGAGACACTAAGATGGTTGAAGGAATCTCTCGAGGAGTCGCTCGAAGACCGCGACGAGGAAACCGCCGAAGGCCTGGCGTTGGTACCGTTGACCGCCGAGACCTCGTCGGCCTTGGAGACGGCGAGTCTCCAACGCCTTCTACGGGCGTTGGGCATCGAGCCACCCAACGCCGAGGAGTTTTATTGGCGAATACCCGCCTCTATGCTCGTTACTACCATTAAGAAGCGCTGCGAGACCTTGGAAGCCGCACTAAGGGGTGAATTCCTCGAGGAGGGTAGGCATGACGTTTTTATTCCCATTACAGAGCGTGAAACAACGCGAATAAAAGTGAAATGTACAAGAAGCAACGTAATTAAGTGTAAATGTCTGATTAATTACATCAAGAGACTAAATTAATTATATATATTGATAATATATTGACGCGTGAGTATGATTAAATAGATGCTCGTCTAAATATGTCTAAATATTACACGATAAATAAATAATAACTCGTATTACGACTTCATAAACAAATTTATAATTTTTATTATATTTTCGAATATATTCTTGAATAAAGTCTATAAACATATATTTGCATTAATATTATAGAATTATATAGTATTTTTAAATAATTATGAATACTTCATAATCGATTTGATATACAATACACATACATAAGAAACACAAGTGTTAATGGTATAAGCTTATTTTTGTAATTTTTGCTAACTAATATCATATTAAAGAAATTAAAACCATAATGCATTTACTATTAATAAATGTTTACAATAAAGTTAAATTCTATCTAGAAATTTCGATACAATTGCATTAAAAATATTACTATATTCGCTATTAAAAGACTTAAATATTTTTATAATTAAATTTATGTCTAAATGAATAATGAAAATAAGCAGCATTTATACTTTAAATACTTAAAAGATCCATAATTTTGGTTTTACATTAAATGAATCATACATATTTACAAATGTATATATTATGTAAGTAATTAATTATCAATATGCATAACACGATTAAGGAGTAATAAATATTATTATGAATCATAAAGTTACGAATCTAAGGGACATTCTACGCAATTGATATTTATATAATGTATATTACTTTTTTTTAATAAAGTAATTTTGAAAGTAATTATCGCTTTTCGATTATATTATTTAACTGTTTTTTATTTATTTATTTTTTTTTTTTTATAGAGACAGTAAGGAAGAAAAAAGATGATTCGGAAAGTGACGATGAGGACATTTTTGAAAAATTGAAAAAATATTCTGAAAGAAACGATGACACTGGAGGTATTTATTAGCCTCTTTTGGATATTATTATAAAGCGTAGTCTTTATTTTTTTTAAACGTTTTTAATTGTAACAGAACCTGTAGTTTCTGAAGAAATTGCCGCAGGTCAATCTACGTCAAATAATGTTGATGAAAATTCTAAAAGTTCCACATCGGGCCAAACAGATTCCGATACCAATGACAATAATTCTTCCCACGGTATATATTATCTAATTAATTATTTTCCAATATTAAAGTATGCTATTTTTGTTTTTTTTTTTTTTTTTTATTATTTTTATTATTAAAAATTAATCAATTAGAAATTAATGTTATTTTTAGATACCAATGAGTCCATTCGATCTGAAAACCATGCTAATGCTTCGAATTATAAAGAAGACGATACAAACTTGTCTGCAAAATCTCAAATTGGTTAGTATGATGGAATTTAATATTTTTCAAATATATGTAATATTTGTTATTTACAGTGGAAAATAAGCCTAATACGAAAAGAATAAGGGCAGTGTTGGAATCTTCGGAATCTGAAGACGAATTCGAGAATTCGATAAGAAATGAAATTGAAAGTACTGATAGTAAGTTGGACAAAACTTGCTCTCAAAATATAATATAATTAATTCGTATACATACGGCTCACATAAGCTAAGCGTTGCTAACAAGATTTTTTTTTTTTACTAATGTAGGCAAAATTGATCGATCAAAGTACACGATTGAGTCAGGTTCAGAGGATGAGAATATGGAAATTCAAAGTGAGTTTGGAATGAAAACGGCCAATCAATCCAGTGGAAAGGAAGGAAGCGCTAAATCCAGTCGAATAAGGAAAGTTGTAGATTCAGACTCCGACGATACAGAAACAGTTTCAAAAAATATGGGTAAGTTATTGTGCAAAACTTATTTAAATTATACAATCGCGTTACAAGCGTATCGCCGTAAATATTAATTGTGATTTATACAAATAATGGTTTTATCAGTTGATAGTAAAAGAGATTATTCCGAGGGATCGGACATCGAGACATCGATACCAAAGAAACGTCGAGTGTATGATAGCGATGAAGATGATGCAGAAAATGATTTATCAGTGGGAAGAAAACCATCTAAGGCCATTATCGATGACGATGATTGAAGAAAAAAGGCAAACACGAAGCAATGTGATTTTTATACATAATTATATGACGTTTGTATATGGTGTTATTTGCTGCCATCTGCGGATCATATTTAGAAGCACACAATCGGGGG